GAGGACGTGAGTCGGAGTTCCAAAGCGCGTAACGCCGCGAGGACGCGGGTCCGAGTTGGGCTGAGCCCCGGAAAGGTGTGCCCCGCGCTGTAGCCACTTCGGGGATACCATTCTCGTCTGAGCTCTCAGGGCAGCCCCGGCAGGTAACGTCCTGTTTCCGCTCTTTCCTGACCCCACCCCGGGTCTCTGCAAATTCTCAGCGGAGCGCTCTGGTGGGAGAGAGTAGGGGCCGAGCAGATCTATAGGGTATGCCGGGAGAGGTGCCCTGTTTCCGTGGTGCTCTGAGCACTGTGCGTTCTAACTACTCCCTGTTTCGCCCGCCTCCCTTGAATATTTGCTTGCTTTAAGGGAAGTTTCTCTCTCTCTTTCTTTCTTTCTTTCTTTCTTTCTTTCTTTCTTTCTTTCTTTCTTTCTTTTCTTTCTTTTTTTCTTTTCTTTCTTTGCGCGCCAGGTGGCTGGTCTGCTCAGGGCTGCTCAAGGGGACCTGCTGTGTCCCCTCTGAGCTGCAGTGTGCTGAAGTAGACTCGAGGGATGGGGTGTGGTGGAGGAAAAAAAAAAGTACCACACCCTCTTCTTTTTCTTCCTTTTCCTCTTCACCTGATGGTGAAGTCTCTCCACTAAGCATTTTACAGATTTCTTTACCCAAGGGCTTGGCTTTGAGAGGCGAGTAAAGCTGCTGCAAGACTTACAGAGACAGAGACAGGGGGAGAGGGGGAAAAGGAAGTCAGGGCCGGAACATCAGGGGAGAAAGGAGGATAAAGTTAAGCTGTGTGTTTGTGGGGTGGGGTGGGGAGGCAGGTGGGCAAAGAGGGTTACAGGCAGGAAATGGCCTTAGGTTCAGCTAATTTGATGAAGTCACATTCGTTTCACATTTCACGGTCTTTGACATAATTTACTTCCCTTCAGCCACTAACAAATTTCATCTCTTCTAAGTACTGCTTACTACCCCAGGCACGGTAGTCACTGAAATATGTTTGTTGTGTCCAAGAAAAAGAAGTGGACATTGTGCCTGTTTGGTGTGATTACTTGGTATCTGTCAGATAGCCAGCAGTGTGTGTGTGCTTTTTAAAAATATGTTGTTCTGTGTTTGTGCATGTCATACATCGTGTGTAACGATTTTACACTTTGTAATGCAATTCTAGGATCCTGTAAAGATGGCAATTAACAAACACGACTTGTGATATTAGACGTCTTGCAAAATAATACTAAAAGATGACCAAAAATATAACGGGTCGTAGAATATTCTAAGAATACTGAATAAAAGCCAAGACCCAGCAGTGGTGAAATATTGTGCCTCATGCTGAAAGAGTGAAATATATTTTTTTCCTGAAATGGGAAACAGTGGTTAACGTTTTCGAAGGAGATGTTTTTCATCGTACTGTCATCATCACCTAGGAGTGTGTTATTATTTCCAGTACAGCTGGAATACAGTGAGAGGAAGAAAAAAATGGGCTTCCTGCTGAAAACGAGTAAGATTTGGTGTGAGGTACTGTCAAATCCTTCCACCTTCAAAATTTAAATTGAATGGAAGTAGTGGTTTGGTTATCATTTATGTGGAGGGCATCCATTACTTATCAATTAAGATATGTAAGATATATATATAATATGTTCATATTTTTACATAACAGTTTTAATTTATTGGCAACACAAGCAGGACAATTTATTGTTGTTTTAAACTCCCGAATAACCTAACATCAACTCAGAAAAGATTTATGTAAGTTTGTCATTAAGCATTACCTTGGTTAGAGCTGTGTTTCAAAGCAAGAATAAATATCTTTTTTGGCGGGAGGATACCAGGGATTGAACTCGGGTCCTTGCGCTTGTAAGGCAGGCCACCGAACCGCTGAGCTAAATCCCCAGCCCTAAGAATAAATATCTTACTGAAGTCCCTCAAGGGATGGTTAGGATTTAAAATAGATTGTTTTAGAAACTTCATGATGTGAAAAATGTTACTCATCTAAATGTAGTTGTCTGAATATATGGACACAAATCACTTATTCATTGAATAGCTAACTGAGGCAACTAGATATTAAAGGCTGATTTGTATCTGAAACACACTTCTGGTACCAACAGGGGACCTGCTAGTGTTCACACTCTGTATATATCATGCTTAAGTGAGACTGCGTTTCTTGACATTTAATTGAATCAATAGTGAGACTGGTTTGTAATTTCAAGTTTTTGTCTCCATCTCTAAAGACTTCTATTTTAAAATAGACCAAACTTTGAAATATAGTTCTAGGATGCTGTGAACCTAAAAACCATTTGAGTCTCTGAAACTTCATGTCAAGAATAAGAAGTTATAGGAAATTGTCACAATTAGTTGATGCTTCAATGAAAAACTGATTCTTATCTGGCTCTGGTAGTCATTATGGTTGATTTCATTTGCTCTCCAGATATTCAGTGAAAGGACTCTAGGTGGAAATGTTTTCCTGTAGTACAAGGAAAGGAGGTCACTATATGCAAACAGGCTTGTCAGTTACTGATTCTTCAATTTGCTTGCTTTTTATCCATAAGGCAGCATGCTAGATTGAAAAAAAAAAGCACAATTCTTTAATTTTACATGAACATTTCCCTCTTTTACAGTTCTCAACCAACCTCTGGGTACTCTTTTATAATTTTGATGAGGAGATTTGTCACCAGGCCATATCCTTTGATATTAAAAAGTTTAAAAAACTAAGCATAAAGTATTATTTTTCCTGAAAGTACAAGAATTGAGCTTTGAAAGAGAATTGATAAGGAAATAAAAAGAACAGGAGAGACAGATTAAATCCTAAGAGTCAGGCCTTACCTGTCTGACTGCAATTTCCTCTCTCATTTATTCTTTCAGCCATCATTTTTTGTTATCCCTTTAAAAAAATCTATTTTTCCTTCCTAAATTTTTTCCTTCAGAATAAAACTCATGCTAATTTATAGCTATTTTATGGTTATCAGCTTATATTTTTAAATTGGAGATAAATGGTCATTTTTTAAAATTTTATATGCATAATGCCCCACTAGATTGTGTTCTTGGTTTTTTAGTCATCAGTCATCAGTCAATTGCTTTCTTACACTGTGGGTGTGTCTTGTCTGGCTGCAAATCCATTGGCTTTGGTTTCTGGGAGATATGAAAGGATGGACAGTTAGGCACTGGAGATGGATGGACTGCCTAGGAACATATACATTTCTACTTTGATTTATTGTCATGTGATTAGTATTTTTTCCATGTATAAACTGGCCAGTGTAATCAAGTATGATGATAATGAAATAGTTCAGTCACACTTGTCAGTGTAAATCTTTTTAGAAATTGATAAGTCATGTTAGGAAATGCTGTGTTCTTTTCTTTTCTTTCTTTCTTTTTCTAAATGGTGTCACTCATTGGGTAAAATCACTAAGTGGCTCATAAATAATGTCTCCTAGAGAAAATCTTGGTTTCAAAAATCTCCCAAGAAAGCCTGGCCTGTTGGTGAATACCTGTAATCCCATCCACGAGGAAGGCTGAGGGGGAAGGATTGGGATTGCATGTTTGAATCTTGCCTGGGCTAAAATATATTTAAAGAACACCTATACAACTGCTATATAGTTTGGTAGGTTTTTGATTAGATTTATCCTTTGATAAGAGGATTTTTTTCTGGATGAGCTATTGATAAGTGTCATGAAAATGAAATTTAAATTAATATGTACATATTGGAGATTATTTGTCCAAAGTAATATTACAAAATTTGGGATTTGCGATAACAAAGAAGAGCCAAGGGAAAAGTAGAGTAAATTTTTTTTTATAGTAAAGTTTCAATGGAGTTCTTGCTTTTAACAGTTGTATATTTTTGTTCTTTTGTATACTTAATATGGCGTAGGTAACAATTATCATTATTTTCATTAAATCAGTCAGGTAAGTTACCCAGGTTTTTTTTTTTTTTTGGTCTTGTTTTCCATTCCTCTCTCTTTCTTTTTGTGATATTGTGGTTTGAACCCAGGACATTCCCCCTGAGCCGATCCTCAGCCTTCTTCCCCTTACTTTGAGAGAGTGTCTTGCTAGGTCAGTAAGTTGCTCAAGCTGGGCTTGCTTGGAATTGGGATCTTCCTGACTCTAGATGCCAGAGGGCTGGGATTTCAGAGTGTGCTCCCTCACCTGGTCAATTACCCTATTTCTGTGAGCATTTTAAAAAGGTTTATCTTATTCAAGTTTGATTCTGTGGTTTAATCTATGAAATTGAACACAAATCTGATACCTCAGTTTTTAGGAA